TAATTAGTCATAGGGGTACACAATTGTATTGATGAGAATGCTTCTGCTTGGTTGCAGTAGCTCTTCCTTGAGTTTATTGAAATCAGCATTTTCCTCATTAAAATGGCATGTTCAAACTATCTCTGGATTTTTTCCACAGGGATATCTGTAAAGGAGGATATTGAGCTACGTTGTTCTGAAAAACTGACTTACCTTAGCAATTTTCCTCTAATGAAAGTCCCTTTCCTTCAGGTTTGCAATATGTTTGTATATTTTAAGAAAGCAAGTAACTCTGGTGGGAGTGAGAAATGAGAGCAGTCCTATTATTATTCCAATATTCAGCTTTTTTTCTGTAGGGAAATTCACATTAAACTAAGTGATAAATTAGTTTTGCTTATCAGCCACAACATAGAGTTAAAGCTAAGATCTGCCATGGATTATCTTATTTGCTTTTCCTGTGTAACATTGGATGCATCACTTCCTCCATGCTTAATATGTAAGTAATAAAAGGCCCTTCTGTATAGGACAATTTAGAGTAGCATTTCCCAACTTGTGCTTCATGGAGCCCTTAGTGCTCTGCATGCTCTGCAGCCGCTCCAGGAAAATAAATAAAAATTGAATGAAATTAAAAAATAAGAAACAAAAAGTAGAACCAAAATAAGAAAACGATTAACTTGTAAGACACAGGGTAGACCTCTTAAGGGGCTCCACCATAGAAATTGATTCTAAAAAGGGCTCCATGGGTCAAAAAGTTTTGGGATCCTTGGTTTAGAGAGTACTTTGAAAATTGGGGGGCAGAGGGGAGGGCAAGGGCCATGACCCTGCTTCTCCACAGGCAGGTTCAGAGGAATGTCTGAATGGTTGTCTGAATGCCATTGTTCAATTAATGTGAGGGAATTCTAGTTAAAATTTAGAACCTTTTGAAAATTTTAGGACTTCTGGTACCTTTGAGGTAACACAAAGGCATGGTTCAGATCAGGGGTAGGCAACCTAAGGCCCAGGGGCCGGATGCCGCCCCCCACTGCCCCCCGCCACTGCTGCCACCCACCATGATAATATTGATTATTGTTGTTATTACTTGTTCTTGGGGTATTCTTGGCAAAATCTCCACAGTGGTTTTGCCATGGCTTTTCTGGGGCTGAGAGAGTGTGTATACATATTTTTTCAAATTTTTTAAATTATTTATTATTTATTTATTTTTGGTGCTTCGGCCCCCCCCATTGTCTGAGGAACAGCAACTCGACCCCCGACTCAAAAAGGTTGCCTACCCCTGGTTCAGATGATATGTGTTGGCAATGTGCATTTGAGTCATTTCCTTCCGTATCCTTCAACAGCAATGGTTAACTGTGAAATTACTTTGATGGTTAAAGGAAGGCAGTGATTCAAATCAGAAATTAAGATTTTGTGTGTGTGTGAGAGAGAGAAAGAGAGAGCATTTACCCTTTGTCTGCTAATAAAAGAGGAAGAAGGAAGAATATTTGACAACATAGTTAAGTGTGAGAGTGAGAAAGAGTTGGCATTTCCTGGCCCCAAACAACAAAAGATAATGCCATTCAGTTAGGCATCTGACCATGAGTGCCAAGTGTTGAACAAAGCATTTGTGAGCATGATTGCCCTTGAAAGTTGGAAGTCCACATACAATTACACACACATATATGTAGGATCCCCTTCAAGAAGTCAGAAGAATAGTGGAAGATCAGGAGTCTTGGATATGTCTCATCCACAGGGTCAAGATCAACCTTCAGGGTGGTTAACAACAGCAAACCCTGAAAGCACCAGGTTTCATCTGATTCTCGAAGCTAAGCCGAGTCTGGCCTGGTTCATACTTGGAAGGAAGACCACCATGGAATGACAGGTGCTGTATTTTAGAAGATGGCAATGGCAAACCACCTCTTCAGCATTCCTTGTCTAAGAAAAACCAAGTCACTCATGAGGTCACAATAAGTTGACAAGCATAGTTTTACTTTTAAAAACAATTATACTATGTTTTTCTGTAGGCAACCCATAGATAATTTAATTTCCAAATGAGGAAAAGGCATAGAGATAGATACCAAGGCTACTGCCTGAAATGGGAGGAGTGGATTTCTTCATGCTTAAGCTTATATCTTTGTCAGTCTGATAACAAGGAACAGATGAAATGGAGGGCTAGCTACAGATTGAAGCAGCCTGGCAATAGATAGAAGCGATAAGGGGACCACTGTTCATTTGCATATTTCCAAATCATATTTTGGAATATTTTCTGAACTGAGGAATTGGTTTTTAAAATGATAAACTTGTGCAGTACTTCTGGGACATGGAAGGTCATGTAAGCTAGAGTGACTATCAGTTTTGACAATTTTTTTGTACTGAAATGTGTATAAATGCGTAGTAGTTTCATGGGGGGGGGGGATGTCAGGGGAGTTAGTCCAAGACTCTAGGTCCAGTTCACATGTGATTTTTGGAAGTATTGTAGCAACTGTTTCCTGGACAGTCTCTTTAAACAAGAGGTTGCTGACACCCATAAATAATGGCTGTCTGATAAGCCATCCCCCCAAATTGTGGATTCCATGTATATGGAACATAGATTGACAATTGGTAATTAGAGATTTCTCTAAAGTAATACAGTACACATATTGTACACTGCTATACATCAGTGAAACCCTTTTTATCTTTGAGTTTGGTTTTTCATTTGAAAAAGGAGCTGGTTTTTGAGGGTCAGAATTCATGGAAGAAAATCCAGGTGCTGCTTTGAATCAACCAACAGAAGTATTTTTGTTTAACTCTTATTAATTTTCCCCATTAAAGTTTTCTGAATTTCCTATCCTGTTACGTTTGTCGATTTGTCAGTTTAATGGAAATAGCCTTGCAGGAGAGTAGATGAGAATTACACTTAATTCTTCTGGGACTTCATTAATTATCAAATAAATCCATACTATTTTCATTAGTGTGTAAGGCTTAATACAGCAAACTTAATGGAAGTTAAATGAGTTGTATATTTTGGACTCTTAAAAAGAGGATTAACAACACTAGGCATTTAAAATTAAGTATGTTGTGTTGTTTCAGATCAATCTAAACTGGAATTGCAGGAAGGTCTTTGCCATTTTACTACTCTGATGCTCGTTGTAAACATTTTAAAAGCATATTGGCTCTGAAAAAGGGGTTTGGAGTTAGATGAGTTTGCTGCTGAAATGCATTAATAAACTGAAATGAATGTAGCTATTTGCCTAGCAAACTAGAACACCAAGTTTGTTCCTCCCCGTTACCCACAATAATCATTAAGGCAAAATAAAGCTAGTTAAACAAAATATTGACCTCATGTATTTGGGCAACATCATCTAAGACAGCTCTATCACAAACTTCATTGATTTTAATTGAATGTGTTATTTCATAATTATTTTAATAGAATGATTTGTGTTTCCCTTTTGATGTACAACTTACTATAGGATCTGGAAAATCTGTAAACTTCTTCTGGTTCGTGCAATTTTAATTTTTAATTGCAGTCATCTTCCAACTTCGCAGTGTTGTGAATATATTACTTTAAAGGGTCATTTTTCTTGTGTAAATGGGCAATTGAATACACTATTGATAATTACATCTGTGTGGCATTTGTTGCCAGAGGCTTGCTATAAGATAGTATTCTGAAACTGAGTGAGGCAGACAGCAGCTGACACCTGAACTCAGAGTAGCTCCTCCTGAAAAGCTGGCATCTTAACTAGCCTGACTTAATTCACAAGTACAATTCTAGCACTGGACAAGGCTCAGAGCCCTTTGTTAGAAGAGTGATTTGCCTGTTCCGGTACCTAAATTCGTCTCCAGACCCGACAGTATAGAGGCCACAGTCTTCAGAAGAGGAACCTCATGATTGGATGGAAGCAACCATAGTTCTCAAAGTGGGAAGCTTTGTAACTTCAAGCAGATAAGCAAAACCTTATTGCTTATGTTTTATGTGTGCATGTAGCTTGTGGATGTATGGCAATCCCATACATTTCATAGGATGTTCTTAGGTAAGGAATATTCAGTTTGGTTTTGGCAGTTCCTTCTTCTGAAATGTAGCTTATGGATCTGGTACTTGCTGGTGGTCTCCCAACCAAGTACTTACCAGTGCTAACTTTGCTTAGTTTCCAAGATCAGACAGGATCTGGTGCCTTTAGGGTTTTTAGACTGGACTTGTTTATGTTTTACTGCCTTTTTACTCATTCTACATGTGGTCATTTGCAGGCCTCCTTCCTCCACAACATCTCAAAGCAAAAATGTAAATGCTATGACCCCAACATTTTGATTTTGCTTCCCCTCCATCTCTGCCTGATGCTGAAACCACTGAGCTTTAAAAGCTAGTGTGATGTATTTTGTGCCATTGGCTGGCCTAATAAAGGTACCTCCACAGTATGGAATTTGGATGTAGTCGGTCAAGACAACCTTGCCGCAGAACTTCTCTCTCTTTTGTACACAGCCACAATTGCATGAGGACCATGTATTAAATTCCCATGTGGCTGTATTGTGTGTATAAATATTGAAGCTATGTCTCTGGAATTCATGTGGGTTTTTCCTACACCATTGGGCATCTTACTTGGAGGAAAGGAAGCATTTGGATGGGACTGAGAACCCAAATAGTGTTGCACTTGGAGATTAATTTCTGTGTGCCTATAGAGTTGTATGATATCCCACCCCATAGAAATGTTTCCCATATAGTTATAGCTGTTTGTATGAAGGGAGCCATTCTTAAGCTTATCATACTTTTAAAGGCAGATTTTCTTCGAAAAAAGTTAACTCACATTGTGTTACATACAGGATACTGTATTATTCAGGCTTGTTAGGGTTTTTCCACTTTTTTTTAAAGTAGGAAAGCACTGAAAAGGATGTGTTTCTTCAGTATATCCTTGTTTGTTCTTGTGTGACTTCAAGTTCTTTCCAACTTATGGCGACCCTAAGAGTCAAACCTATCATGGGGTTTTCTTGGCAAGATTATTTCATATGAGGTCTGCCATTGCCTTCCTCTGAGGCTGAGAGCATATAACTTGCTGAAGGTCACCCAGTGGGTTTCATGGCTGAGCTGGGAATTGAACCCTAGTCTCCAGAGTTGCAGTCCAATGCTCAAACCACTGTGCCACACTGGTTTTACCCTTCTCTTTGTAGAGAGATGCAAGACGTATATCCAAAGTGAATTTCATTTGATATACAGTCAACCCTACATATCCACGGATATTTTATCCACGGATTCAAGCATCCACGTCTTGAAAATATTTTAAAAATATAGAAATTCACAAAAGCAAACCTTGATTTCACAATTTTATGCAAGGAACACCATCTTACAGTGCCATTATATTTAATGGGACTTGAGTATCCACAGATTTTGGTATTCATGGGGGGTCCTGGAACCAAACCTCAGCGGATACCAAGGGCCCACTGTATTTGAAATTTTGAGTACTTTTATTTACATAGATGTTGTCATTTTTAGGTTATGAGTGAGATAAAACAAGTTATAATTTTGGTCATTTTTGGATCAAAGAAGCATCCAACAACCACTTTAAAGTATTGACAGTGGAACAGACTCCCTCGGAGGTTGATGGAGTCTCCTTCTTTGGAGGTCTTTAAACAGAGGCTGGATAGCCATCTGTTGGGGATACTTTGATTTTGAGTTCCTGCATGGCAGGGGGGTTGGACTTCCAACTCCGTGACTGTGATTCTATGATTCTATGATCTATAAAAATATACATTGAGACTAACAGGTAGCCTAAAAATGAGCATAGCCTTTCCAAATCCAGTGTTTACTTCCCATGGTTTTATGCACTTTTCTCGAAATACTTGCTTCTATTTGAAATGGATTTACTGCTTTCTGGGATGTTTTAAATCACTTTAAAAATGTCATGAATGAATTTTATCAGCTGCTAATGAGGAGGCAATTTGAAACCAAGCACAGGGTGCTATTTTCTCATGTTATGAACATGCACACAATTTTATAATCAAATATAGATTTTCCAGATAGATCAGTCTGGGCTTGGCTGATACATGGTGTTGTGTGGTGTTTCATATTTTGCTGTTTTCAAGCCTATAACAATAGAGGAATGTCTATGTGTCTTCTCTAAATGTGACCTTGTGCTTGGTGTTTTATATTTTGACAGAGGGTCTTTGGTTGTCATCTACGTTTTAGTGGCCAAGCCAAAAATCCAAAGGTGGCACTCCCTATAAGCAAATAAAATAAAATAAAATAAAAAATAATAATAGAACTTTGATATAATTCACCTGGGAAATAATTTCTTCAAAGCATTAGGACAGTGATAGCAAACCTTTTAGAGACCGAATGCCCAAATCAGTGGCGTTCCTGCACCAGGTACCAGGTGCGGAGCTTCCAGGGGGTGGGATTTTTTTGGGGGGGGACATGCAAGGAAAAATTGGAAGACCTGACCAAATAAATCTCAAAACAAAAATCACTCATATAAATATTAAATCCATCCTCCATGCCCTCCACAGCGTGCCGGTTCCCTCCTCCTTCCTTCATCTTCCTACCTTCCTCCTCTTCTTCCTTCTCCATACCCCTCACTGCAAACCTCCTCTGAACAAACCTTGCCAAGAAAGCCCCATGATAAGCTTGCCTTAAGGTCACCATAAGTTGGAAATGACTTGAAGACACACAGCAACAAACAACTACAGTTCCCAGAACCCCAATCTCAAAGGGCGAGACTTCCAGCCGGAAAACCAGCGCTCCTGGCCCACTCCTTGCAGCCCTGTTGTTCTGGAGCAGATTGGGCTGAGACAAGAAGCTGGGCTGCACACTCGCACCCCATGCCCTGTCCCTTCCACTGGTGGCTGCTGTGCCCTAGCAGACTGGGCTGTGTGCCAAAAATGGCACGCATGCCATGAGTTCACCAACACAGCACTAGGAAAACAGGACAGGGCTCTATGAGACACTGCTGCTACAATTTGTGAGGTTAAAAAAAAGAACTGGAAAATTGGAAAGGGTTCTAGGAGGCACTGCTACTGGGATTCCCAATTAATGTTGGCAAGAAGGGGAAAAGAGGAGCTCTATGAACTCTTTTCAGGATATTAGGTATCCAGTTCCTCTTGTGGAGAGACACCGGCTGATTGGAATATGCAGAACAGCCAAATAGGGGGTAAGACTGGCAAAAAGGTGGGAGCCTGCCTGATGAGCGGCTATAAAAAGGAGGAGGAGCAAAGGGGATGAGTGTGCCTTAGATCTGCCAAGCGTGCAGTTGGGATTAAGGGTTCAGCCTTGAGAGGGATTCAGATTCCCATACAGGGAAGAGGGATTTTGGAAGGACAGAAGAAGTCCTGTGAAATCAGTTTAAACTGATAAGTCTTTGAGCAGTGGAGAGTCAGTAAAGGGAAGGCTCAGATCCACCTTATTCTGTGGAATTGTAACTGAATTAGAAAAAATAAAACTAGAGATTCATAGGATTTATATTACTAGTGGAAGGTGTGTGGAAAGAACTTAAACACAGTTGAAGAGTACAGTCGGCCCTCCGTTTCCCCGGGGGATCCGTTCCTGACACACACCCACACACACCAATATTCAAGCCCCATAGGCTTGAATGGGGTGCACCCCATTGATTTTAATGGCGGTCACCCTCCATGAACATGCAAAACTGCAGACTTCAAGTCTGCGAGAAGGGAGGGGTAACTGTAACTGAAGTCCTCAAGGAACTGAAACAAAGTCAATTTGTAACCAGTGAAGTAATATACACTTTGTAACCATATGCTTTGAGAACCAACTACCAAAAGAGATACCATCATAAGCTCTTCCTATAAATAAAAGTTACAGTCGGCTCTTCACATTCGGGGGGGGGGGTTCCCCTGCAAATGTGGAAAAAACATGAATAACTCCCCCCTCCCAAGAAGACAGGTAAAGAGTCAAGTAGGTGGGGAAAGAGGAGCAGGAGCATGAACGCGTTCCTCTTTTTCTGCACTCTCCCATCCCTTTAAGCATCTCCCCACCCTTTCCCAGATGGATAGCTGCCTTCCACCAGGCATCTGTCCTACTAGGGGGCATGGGATGGTCAATCCTCCTTCACCTTTCCAGGATGGATGTGGGAAGAGGCAGCTATCTGCCTGGGAAAGGGGTGGGGTTGGTGCATGCACCCTTCCCAGTTGCTCTTTCCCTCCTGGGCTTTTTTCCTGAAAAGGAAATCCTGGAAGGAAGAGGAGAAGGTGTGCAGGCAGCCTTGAACCCGTTAATAAACAAAAGCACAAGTGTCAAAGCTGTGAATATTGAGGGACGACTGTATTTCCTTTTTGTTCACAAATGAGTGGCCTGGAGTCATCTATGTTTAACATCAAAACATGCTACCAAGCATAGTAAAAAACACTTAATAATAAAGAGACTTAATTCAGTGGTAGAAGCAAGGGTTAATGGAGACCTGCACAACTTGGCCGTAAGAAGATATCAAAAATTAAAATAGGCTAAACTTCTTCGGGCCGCAGATAGGGTTTAATTACATATTAAATAATTAATAATAACATTAATTCTGTTCTCCTCCTCCTCCTCCACATGACCCTCTCCTGAGGAGAAGACTGAGCAGCAGGGGAGCCTTGAAGTCATTCCACATCTTCGCGGGCCACTTGAAATCCTTTGGCAGGCCACATGTGGCCCCAAGCTGTACATTGCGAAGGCCTGGATTAGAGAGATAGTTCTGAGGTAGAAGAATCCTCAGATTGTCATAAGACAGGAGAAGAAGTCTATGTAACTCTATGGTGGTCACATAATTTGGTGGAAAGAGTGAGGGATTCCCAGTGTGCGGGAATCTGAAAGATCTAGTGTGAGAAACCTAAGAAATTCCGCCTGCACACCCCCTTTTTGAATTAGCAATTTCTAAATACTTAGTGCTATGGATCCTCTACACATCTCTCCATACATGAGTGTGCATGCACAGACAACACTTTCACTTAGTATTTCCTACAACCTAGGTTGTGATATCAGAGAGCAGGTCGTTTTTGGAAGACTTTCATTCCTCCGTTGCATTCTGAAAGGCAGAGGGCATTTATTTATATGCAATCAGCATCTTATTTTTTAGTGCCCGTCCACCACTTAAAGCAGTTCACAGTAATTTAAAGCTACAATACAGCAACATGCATTCAGTTTAGATAAATGTTTGAACTTGTGAGTTTGCCATTAATTAACCTCTTAATTCTGAATTCAGGTTTTATCTGTACTTGAGCTCAAGCAGAGCTTGGAAACATCTGCCTTTCCACATGTTGGACTCCAGTTCCCATTTTCTGCCCAGCTTTCTACAGTGGCTAGGAGTGATTTTGTACATTTAAAGCTTATGCGCCAGCTGCACCCATTCCTTAAAATGCTGGATTTGTCCATGGTATTACATGCCTTAGTTATATCTTGTTTGGATTACTGTACCATGCTCTACATGGGGTTGCCTTTGAAGAATCTTTGGAAACTTCAGCTAGTTCAAAGATCCGCAACTGGAGAACTTACTGAGACAGGTTACAGGGACCATATTAAACAGTAATCTTTTTAATTGCATGTTGTTATTTTAAGTAGAGATTTGAAGTGTTTTAGCAATGTGACCAGTTTAATTCTCTTTTACCATTCGCTTTTTATATGTTTTTGACTGTATTGCTCTTTTAAACTGTAAGGTGCCTTCTGCGAGGAAGGCAAGACACAAATAAATATAACAGTAACAATAATAATTAACTGAGCTGGCTAATACTCATGGAAGCATCTGGAGATACTGCTTCTGGATTTTTAAAAAACTGACAGTCATTAAGATAAATCAGAGTTCCAAATTCATATATACTATTAACCCTGTATCCACAGGACCAGTAACCACCATTTCAGTTAGTTGAATCTGGAAAAATATGGTATGCCTAGACAGCTGGAGGTCTCTATGGTCAATTTCCACCAGAAATATAGGGTTCATTATTATCCATGGTTTTCATTATTGTTAATAAGTCTTGAAGTGTATGGGGGGTGTCAGACTGTAATTTAGCAACCCATGGAGAGCCAAAGTGAAAAACAAGGTTTTCAAACTATGAAGCTAGAGAACCTGGAATTGCAACAGATAGTGCTGTCATTGTTTCAGGGTGCAGCTGCTGTGGAAAAGGCCAATATTTGGCATCACTTTAAAAATCAGTCGAAAATACAACTAATAATATTATACAAATGAATGGAGCAGGAACACCTGCATTACTATGTGTCTGTCTTAATACCAGTTGCTAATACAGGCTTCCCAGAAGTATCTAGCTGGCTTTCGTAGGAACAGACTGCTGGACCAGATTTGCGTAGGTCTTTGGTCTGATGAAGCATAGCTGCTGTTATGTTATATTCCTGATTGTTGAATTTTAGAATGAAGGAATATTTATCTCAGCCACTTGATTTAGAGACTTCTATACTTCTCTCATTTCTGCCTATACTTCTCTCAGTTCCACCTTCTGTCTGACTAGAGATTCAGCATCATGGAAGACTCTCTTTATTTTCAACACACTTCAGGGCAGGAATGGAAAAAGTGTAGCCTGTGGCCACGTATGTCCCTAAACTGTTTTTTTTGGGGGGGGGGAGCAACCAGTGTACCCCAGATATTTTTTGAAAAACATTTGTCATCACAGTTTGAAATTTGGGAGCAAACCACCAAATGCACTTGAGTCAACAGGAAAAAGAATGATCTTGACTAGTGAACAGGATAGTAGATGTGATATTAAAGTCATATTTAAGTACTGCGTAGGTAAGTTTCATTTATATTCATAAATGCACATTTAAGAACAATTAAATATGAGTAGAGCTTATTTGTTAAAAACAAGTGGGGGAGAGTTTTATTAATAACGAAATCTATTATTCCAAATGCAAAGAAATCACATATGAGTGGAGGGATTTTGCTTCTGCATGCTGCATTTCTATCTGTTAGTAATGAAATTTAAATATAAGCATTAAAATAACTATTTTATCTGTACTGTTTGTAATGTTTAAAATGTTAAGCTATACCTTTTCTCTGTAGGCCACATCCCTTGAGCATGTGGCTCTCAAACATGTGCTCACTCTGAAAAGCCCTGCAGAAACTGCCCATCCCTATTTTAAGCATTTGTATCAGTAATCCTTACTTAGATCAGTGGTTCCCAAACTTTGGTCTTCCAAATATTTTTGACTTTAACTTCAGAATTCCTGACTCTTGGCCAGACTGACTGGGGCCTCTGGGAATTGTAGTCCAAAGGACTCAGAGGACAAAAGTTTGCCCATCAGTGCCTTAGAACAATCCTGTATGATAATATTCTGTATTATTGATACCTATAAAGCTTCTAGGGCTGAATGCATTTATTAATGCCATCTAGAGTATATTCATTTAATGAATGTGACCTGTAGAGTCAAGAGCTTAAATAATTCCCATTGATTCAATGGGTTAACTATACCTGGGACTATCAATTAGACTTGGCCCCCTACAATTTTCTATGTACTATGGGGATATTAAAAGAAGATTCTGTAGGCTCTGACTCTAATAGATGTGATACAAAAAGAAAAAGAAAAAGGAACAGGGAAAGAGAAAGAGAAAGAGGAGGAGGAGGAGGAGGAGGAGGAAAGGAAGCCAGGGAGTGTTGTGATCTCATATTGCAAATAAGTGAGCTGGGGCATGGACTTGGTTAATGCCCTCTATTAAGATAATTGCTCACAGCTTTCATACTCTTTAACCATGCCATCAAACATTTTGAAATTGCTGGTAATTTTGAAAATTAAATGTAGATCCCATCTTTAGAAGGCTTTACGTTGATCTTCAGAGGAAGGAAAGCTGCATTTTGTTGCTTGCTGCTTCTTATCTGAAATTATATGGAGCATTTGAATACGCACAGACATTGAGGCTTGGCTGGGATAGTTCAAATGCCAGCTGCCCTGGAATGGAAATACATTTTATAGGTTAAAGGTGTAGTCATCCCTTGAAAATGCAGTTGTTTCCCTGTCTTGGTTTTCCACTCCATGCTTCAGTTTATCCTTAGTGAGAATATTTTGTTCTGTTATCATAGGACGGAAATGAAATTATTTGGTTAAAGTAACTGCCAGTAAGATAAGCAGTGCTGGCATCTCGATGCAGGTAGCCACTGAAATATTAAACAGGAACTTGGTACGATCTTGTCTCCTTCCTATATTTTAATCATGCAATCCAGTTCGTTGCATGATGTGCACAAACATGTCTGTTGGCATTTGGATTGGTTAAGAGTACTTCATTTCAGGGCAAACACTCAATAAGTCTAGTTATAATTCTGAATTATTACACATTTCAGATTGACTTTGGAACGATGTGTAAAATGTGGCTGAACAGTATTTCACACTCATACATACTTGATTTCCAGTCCAAAAGTAGATCGTGTTCCTTTCCCAGTTAATTATTTGGTTTGGTTTTCAGCCATCCTAATTTCAAACAAACCATTTTTTCATGCAAGTTTCCATTCCCATGTGTGGCAAGCCACATTTCCTACTGTCCTATCTTTCTAGGACAGGGGTAGGCAACCTTTTCCCTTTAAGGGCCGAGGGACTTCAGCTCCCAGAATCCCAGGAGCTATTGGCCAACATGGGACTATTGGCCAACATGGCTGAGGCTTCTGGGAGCTGAAGTCCCTCAGCTCTTAATGGGGAAAGGTTGCCTACCCCTGTTCTAGAAACATCCACAAACAAAGAACATGCCTACATATGCACAGATACCCGAAGGCAGCAAATTCTGCATTATTTCATATCTAGGACAGACTCTTCCTGTCCTGTCACCCAAAGTAGATAATGTTCTTGTCAGCCATATTGGCAGTGAAAATGAACATCTGTTGAACTACTAAGTCATTATGTGTTTGTGGTGTGTCCGACAAGGCTAGGACATGTAGATAAATGTTTTTGAGGCCAGATACCAAGATGTGTATGCTGTACTACACCTGTGCTGGAGTGGTTGCAACAGCCAAGGCTATATAAAGCTATGTCTTAATGTAATGTAGGTTACAGAGTAGTGGGTTACAATAGTGGTTATGAGTAGTTGGTGAGTTGCTGTAAAAGAGCTATCCTGAGTCAGAAAGGAAATCTATTTGTCTGTATAGTTCTTGCTCTTGTATATAGCTTCTACTTAGCACTGTAAATAAATCTCTTAACCTTTGAGCTGTCCAGTCCAGCTTCTTCATTCCACATTGGTATCTAAGGGCCTTTGCAGACTGCCAGAAATAGTGTAAATTGAGTTCACTTTAACTGTCCTGGCTCAGTGCTAAGGAATCATGGGAATTGTTTTTTTTTCTGAGACATTGAGCCTTCTCTGTCAGAGAGCTCTGGTGCCACAATAAAATACAGTTCCCATGATTCCCTAACCCTAACCCTTAAAGTGGACTCAATTTGCACTGTTTCTGGCAGTCTGCAAAGGCTATAAGTATCTGGGTGTAGATACTGAAGTTTCATTCAAGCCAACGTTACCAGTGTCCCAATTGTGTTCCTTTCCCAGTCATGCTAGGATCACCTGAGAAGGGTATGATGAATTTCCAATCCTCCTTACTGGATCCACTCTGATAAAACTGTGATTGGGATTCCCCCCCCCCCAAAAAAAGGGGGACAGCAGAGTCATAATGATACTATTCCATGTTTCTGAGCACAGGTTCCCCCATCTGCAGTCTGCTTTGGTCTGTTTTTGTTAAAACTCTGGTCTGGTAAGTTTTGGAATCAGCTATTTCTGTGTTTAATTTGAAAAAAAAACAAAACAAAACACAACCCAATCAAACCCTGGCCATTCTGGAACTACTTAGCTTTTGAATATAGTTGTCCCTTCATATCCATAGATTCAGCATCCACAAAGTCTACCATCCATGACTTGAAAATATGTAGAAATGCTACATCTCAAGATGCCAGTCTAGTGTGCGCTGTAATGCATATGTAGTCCCCATTCTCTCACTTCCCCATTTAATACAGAATTGTCTTTTGCCCAGTTTTGTTTCCCATTTACTGAGTAGCAGAAGAGATTTGGGCAGGAGCTGAAATTGGCCCTATGTTTAGCCAGGCCTGTGATCTATCCAGGCATGCATGTTCCAAATTATCTTTTCTCTCTTGCTCTCTTTTCACCAACTAACATCTATTCATCATAAAAAAAAAATACAGTACAATATTTCATTAAGTACAGAGGCAAATGGGATTATGAAAAAGATGGCATTGCAATTGTCATTGTAGCCACACAATATGATGAACCAGGGAGCATAAGAAATCCTTGTCTTTACCTCTGTGAGCAGCATGTTGTCACTTGGTCCCATTTTCAGCAGGAGCAGCTAATCAAATTACTCATTTACTTTGGTGTGTCACAGAATCACAGAGTTAGAAGAGACCCCATACAGTCTAATCCCATTCTGCCATGCAGGAATACACAATCAAAGCACCCCTGACAGATGGCCATCCTGCCTGTGTTTAAAAACCTCCCAAGAAGGAGACTCGTCCAGATCTGCACACTTCCACCTCTCTGGTTTATTTCGCTTCCAACACACCTTTGATTCTTTTGCAGAAGAGAAAAAGGGCAAAAGAAAAAAAGAAGAAGCTTGCGGGGGGGGGGGGGGGGACAAAGGAAAAAGTGCCAATTTTGCATGGCATATTAAACTAAGGGCAAAGAGGCTTTGTAGGAACTGTCAGGCAGCATGAAACAGCACACTGCTTGTAACCAATAAAACCAGAGGTTCCTGCGGTTCCTTGGCTTATTGTGACATACAACTGTAGTAAGTGAGTTATGGTAATTAGATATCTTATTACTTTGCTTTAATACAGTCTGTCCATAGTTCCTTGCATGTGGAAAAATTAAATCAAACTATTCCTTGGTTAGAAAGACCAATATTAAATTTCCTCACTCTGTTATCTGCAATATTGTTTCCGGCAATTCACTACCAGGGAATAGTTATGAAATTCTGTCCTAATAAACTTTCCACATCAACAAATTTTCCTCCAAAATGTTACTTCTTTTATTGTTGATGGTATGTGTGCCTTCAAGTTGCTTGTCGACTTACGGTGTTGTTGTGAGCCTTCAAGTCATTTCTTACATGGCAAACCTATCACGGGATTTTCTGGGGCTGAGCATGTGCGACTAGCCCAAGATTACCCAGTGGTTTTCCATGGCAGAGTGGGGGATTGAACCCTGATATCCGGACTTACAGTCCAAAACTCAAACCACTACACCACTCCAGCGTGACTTAAGGTGATCCCATGAATTTTCTTAGGGTTTTCCTAGGCAAGGAATAACCAGAGATAGTTTTGCCAGTTCCTCCCTCTGAAAATTTAGCCTACATCACTTGGCATTTGTTGGCAGTCTCCCATCCAAGTCCTAACCAAGGCTGACCCTGATTAGCTTCCAAGATCAGGGAGGATCTGGTTCCTTTGGAGTATTTAGGGCCCTAGAGGTACTACTTCCTAGTATTTTCATTTTTGTTATTGTTGTTGTCAATTTCCTCAAGAAATGTAAATGCTGTATGGTGTTTCTCCTCCTTGCTTCCTTCTAGGGTGACCTTTCTTCTGTGGAGCACTTACTAAAAAGTGGAGCAGATCCCAATGTTAAAGACTACGCTGGGTGGACACCACTGGTAAGCATAACTTTGTATTAACTTCACTCTTTTTAATATCACTTCAGTTTTCTTGCTCTGTTAAAATTAAAAAAAAAAGCTTTTATCTGGGTAAGTGATGTTCATCCTTTTGCTAATATGTTTTTAATTGTAATTTGAATGTCTTTTAATTGCATATGTTTTGCTTGATTTTACTTGATTATTAACATTGTTTGGGAAGAAAGGTGGAGTTATATATCAAATGAATTCATTTATGTCAGATCAAAAAGTAATGTTCTAAGTACATCTATACATCCTTGGGGGAAAGGTGGGGGTTTACAGTGGGCCCTTGGTATCTGCTGGGGTTTGGTTCCTTGGTTACTAAAAATCCATGGATGCTCAAGTCCTATTAAATACAGTGGCATAGTAAAATGGTGTCCCTTATATAAAATGGCAAAATCAAGGTTTGCTTTTAAAAATATTAAAAATTTAAAAATATTCTTAAAAATATTTTCAAGCTGTGGATGATTGAATCCATGGATAAAATATACTTGGATATGGAGTGCCAACTGTACATCAAATAAATGCATTAACATAGGGGCAAAGTGGAATGTTTTAGAGTCAAAGTGTGTATACAGTCATGCCCTCTCTTTCTGTCTCTCTTTCATTGCCCCTGATGAAGGGAAAAAATCCTTAATTTTTATAACCTTAATTGTTATTGTAAACCACGTTACATGAACTTGTACTCTTGTGTCCAGATAATTTTTTTTCTTAGAACTGAATGAGGCCAGTATCTGAGCCTTTGGATGTTCTTGTATTGCATTTTCAAATTTAAGGGAAATGCAGTTTGGAAGTACAGTTGGCCCTCCACTTTTCCGGCTTTGACTTTTGCAGATTTGTTTGTTTGAAGATTTGATTAATATGTTCTCTCTAGGAATTTCTAGGTCCTTCAGTGCAAATCTGCCGGAAATTGACTATAGATTTGTGCTGGAGGACTTAGACATCCATAGAGAGGTGTTCTGTCAGGTAAAAACATAGTAGTTTTTATATTTGTGGTTTTTCCACCTTCTCAAGGATTCTGTGCTCCTAACCTCAATGAATGTGGAGGGCCAACTGTAGTCTCTTTTTATCACCTTTTAAGTACGGAAATCGACTTACGATGTATACTGTATTAAAATTACTTCACTATTTTGCAGCCCAAGTGAGCGGGTTCACATACTTTTCCCATTACTTACAGCAAAGATCCCTAGAACTAATGGATTGCACTTGTTTAAGCTACTTTGGGAATTGGTTTTAGCTGGAAAATAGGGTAGAACACTAATGAGTTAAATTTCTAATTTCTTTAAGTTTACCACTGGCATGAAGATCAGAACTTTTTAATTGAATGGATTCTTGTGTACTCTTTGAATTCTTACCCACTATTCTGTATTTTGCTTTGATTCAAATCAACATTTAGCATGAAGCTTGTAATCATGGACATAAGGAAATAGTGGAGTTGTTGTTGCAGCATGGGGCACTGCTGAATGCAACTGGGTATCAAAATGATTTGCCACTTCATGATGCAGTCAAGAACGGGCATATGAGCATCGTTGAACTATTGCTTTCTCATGGCGCTTCTCGAGATGCAGTGTGAGTAGAACTGAAAACTGTTTATTTCTCTTTTATTCAGTTAGTGGAGGTATAGCAATGCATCCTCAAAGAATACTGAGGCAGATGAGGCTGAGGTCTAGTGCTTAGTAATTCAGTGAAGCTGTTGTTTGGGCTCAACTGCTTCAGAGGTGAGGAGAAGGAGGAATACTGGGGTGGGAGTACCCGAGGCCAGGATAATTAATCTGGAAAGGCCTGCCGGAAGAGATCTGTCTTGACAGCCCTTTTGAAGCTGTCTAACGATGTTAACTGACGGATCTCATCCGGCAGGTCATTCCAGAATCTAGGGGCGGCAACTGAAAAAGCCCTCCGGGAGGTAGCTACAAGCCTCGATTTTTGAGGCTGCAGCAAATTCCTCCCGGAGGACCGGAGATAGTGGGGAGGATTGTATGGGAGAAGGCAGTCCCTGAGATAGGTTGGACCCAAGCCATTTAGGGCTTTAAAGGTGATAACCAACACCTTGTACCGGGCCCGGAAGCTGATAGGAAGCCAGTGGAGGGACCTAAATGTGTGTTTCTATAAATTGTTTTGTGATTATTGTTGCATGCAGCTTCAGGTGCCAATTGTGGCAGACAATGCCACCTAGTAATGTCTGAAATAGAGGTTTCAAAGTGATTTCCTTCCTTGGTTGCTCCTTAATGACAGTAAGACATAAATGTTGAAACACACACACCTTGCCCAAATCCCTGCTTCTCAGTAGTGGCCAGGAAATAATTGTATGGCAATGTCTTCAAAATACAATGTGTAAAAATGTGAAAGTGTAGTGTGCTCAATGACTGGTACATGGCTTTAGAAAAACTTGCCAGAGTCACCTGAATGGTTAGCATGCATCAATTGGTTGTAAATGTAACAGATGTAACAGAGTGAGGTATATAAATGCACACATGGAGACATGTACAAGTGCACTATTCTGAATATATATATACCTATTTGTATATGGTTTAGGTCTTAGAATTTATTTTGAGCCTAAAGGATGGGTCTAGTAGTTGGTGGAAATCATTATACTGTTCTAAAGGTTTCGTCCCTTGAGCAGTAGCCCACCAGATGACATAGTAAACCAAATGAGAATGGAGTATTGGTCTGCTGTCCAAAAATATTTTTTTTAAATGAAAATAAATGCAACTTACAATCAGCATTTATAATCTATGAGGTCAGCTTATAGTTGAGCATATGTGGTACATTAAATTATTTCTCCTTATTACCAAAATTTTCTTCCATGGGAAAAGCCAAAAGAGAAATGGAAGAATTTTGTTCTTATTTAGAAGAAAACCTGGGTGGGTTTCTTCTGAAGTTAGAAAATGTGTGTTTCTCTGAGAAAATGCAAGATTTAGTAGTTGCAGTCTGACTCTTTCAACCTTTTCTCTGACTAGCAAAAAATGAAGCTACAAATGGAAAATATTATGTGGACCAGTGGACCTATTAATTGCCCTGTTGGCCTAGTTAATTTTTTAAAAAGTTAATCTCCTGCACATAACTAATTTATATTTTATAGCTGCTTTTTAATGTTTGCTCTCTTGAATTTTCTGTCTGTCTTGCTTCACAGCCAACCAAGTGACGTGAAAAATTAGCACTCTGAATTTGCAATTTCAGTTGTTCATAACGTCTTTTACACAGATGGACTCTCTTGTCAGTTTTTTCCCCCCAATGCACAGTAAGCTTAGCATTAGTAGAAGCTGTCTTGCCCCCTTATTTCTTTGCAAAGAATGATGGGCTACATCGGGTGTTTGAATCTGAATGCAGCTGGGCTGTTGGAAATATTTGTTTAAGACCAGATAAGACTTTAGCACAACTAAAAGTGACCTAGTGGTTTGAGCATTGGATTGTGACTCCAGAAACCAGATTTTGAATTTCCGCTCACTCAGCCATGAAAACTCACTCAGCCTCATAGGTAGGCAATGGCAAACCCCTTATGAACAAAACTTGCCAGGAAAACCCCATGATAGGGTCACCATGAATCAGAAATGATTTGAAGACGGACAATATTTTTGTTATAGTATACTGTATGTAGGGAGGCATTTCAGTTTGCTTTGGGAGCTGCACATAGATCAAGTCACAGCTGGCAGGATGCTTGGTGGAACATCCTACCATACACACACACAGCTTTGCTTAGCCCAGATACTTCTTATAGTGATTTGAGGGAGTTCCTTCTCTCTGGTGGCATCCATTTTGTGGAATTACCTACCCTTAGTGATGCAATGGACACCTACAATGCAAGCTTCTGCTGTTTAGTAAAAATATACATATTCTTGTGGGCATTCCCAGGTGTTGATCTGGCTTTACTGAATTCTGAATTCTTCGTATGATTTGTTGTTGTACTTATTGTATTGCTTTCATCTTGCAAACTACCTGTACCTTGTTAGCTTTTATGACGGAGTAATTTTTTTGCCAAAGAGATTTGTCCGAAATGCCTCTCTACCAAAACTTTGTGATAGCCCTTATTCATCCATGAAGCAATCATTGATATTGCACCAGATGTACTTTCACATAACATTTAGCCGCAGTCTTAGCATTCCAGAGAATCCAGCCTTCACTTCGTAAGAGAGCGTTTCTAGCCCCTCGTGATCATGGAGTTCCCACTTGTTCATGTGTTAAACTGGTTTAACATATGGTTGCCTCTGAGATTCACACAGTGTGGCCATGTTTCTTTGTGAAGTACTTTTCAGGTCCTTTTTAACCTGACTGGTGAACTCCAAGGAAAATTGTAAAATAAATGGAAAGCCAGTCCAAATAGAATGTTGAATCCCTTTTTCTTCATATTATAAGATCATTTTACAATCTAAATATCTGTTTACAGATCTCTTCCTCCAAAAAACAGAGCTTCAGCACGGGGGGGGGGGGGGGGGGGAAGTATTCTTGACCTTAGTTTAATGTAATGCAATTTGATTTCATTTTTGAAATTTGTATTTGTATTTCATTTTTGAAACTGGCATTTGTATTCACATTTAACCTTTGAATCATGGGCAGTATATGCTTTCCAGAACCATTTTATTGGCTTCTTGATCA